GGGAGACTCACAAGGAATGGCAAGAGCAATTTCCTTCCCTGTGTAGAAGTTGAATTGTCAACCTACTCATCACTTCCAGAAAGAGACATGTTTGTAAGCAGCTGAACTGGATCCCAGTCCACATCACAGTACATCACGGTACAATTCAATATGTTGGTTTTAAAATTTAATAGCCTTTCTGGCTGGGCATCCTTCATTGAGGTTGTCTTCCAAAGTTGACTTCCAGATGCCTGCCTTTGGATGATGAATTCAGTGATAACGGGCGCGACTGGTGATGGTGACTAGGGCTGGATCTACACTGCCCTATATCCCAGGATTTGATCCAAGATTATCTGCTTTGGACTGGATTATATGAGTCCACATATTCTGGGATCAAATCCTGAGATATAGGGCAGATCCAGCTGTAGTGCCCTTCCACACAGCAATATAACACAGAATATCAAGGCAGAACTTCCCACAATATCTGCTTTGAACTGGGTTATTTGAGTCCATACTGCTATATATTCCAGTTCAAAGCAGATCATGTGGGATTTTATTCAGCTATGTGGAAGGAGCCTTCTTAGGGCCCTTCTGCACAGCCATATAACCCAGAATATCAAGGCAGGTCACTTGATGGCCTGATAGGTGTATTGTGTCCAAATTTGGTGCCAATTCATACAGTAGTTTTTGAGTTATGTTAATCCCACAAACGAACATTACATTTTTATTTATATAGGCTAGCCATCCCCTGCCATGCTTTGCTGTGGCCCAGTCTGTGTATATGTGTGTATATATTTGTGTATATTTGTATATGTGTATGGTTTTGTGCATGTGTTATAACTTTTTTTGGTTTTTTGGCTTTTTAAGTCCATTCCACTGTGTTTTTCAGTGTTTTTATAAGTGATGGTCACTAGTTGGCCTGATAGGTGTATTGTGTCCAAATTTGGTGCTAATTTGTCCAGTGGTTTTTGAGTTCTGTTAATCCCACAAACGAACATTACATTTTATTTATATAGAAGACTAGCTGTCCCTTGCCACACGTTGCTGTGGCCCACATGGGGGTTCTGTGTGGGAGGTTTGGCCCAATTCTATCGTTGGTGTGGTTCAGAATGCTCTGTGATTGTAGGTGAACTATAAATCCCAGCAACTACCACTCCCAAATGTCAAGATTCTATTTTCCCCAAACTCCAACAGTGTTCACATTTGGGCATATTGAGTATTTGTGTAGAGTTTGGTCCAGATCCATCATTGTTTGAGTCCACAGTGCTCTCCAGATGTAGGTGAACTACAACTCCCAAACTCAATGCCCACCAAACCCTTCCAGAATTTCCTGTTGGCTGTGGGAGTCCTATGTGCCAAGTTTGGTTCAATTCCATCATTGGTGGGGTTCAGGATGCTCTTTGATTGTAGGTGAACTATAAATCCCAGTAAGTACAAATCCCAAATGTCAAGGTCTATTTTCCCCAAACACCATCTGTGTTCATATTTGAGCATATTGAGTGCTTGTGCCAAGTTTGGTCCAGATCCATCATTGTTTGAGTCCACAGTGCTCTCCAGATGTAGGTGAACTACAACTCCCAAACTCAATGCCCACCAAACCCTTCTAGTATTTTCTGTTGGTCATGGGAGTTCTGTATGCCAAGTTTGGTTCAGTTACATCATTGGTGGAGTTCAGAATGCTCTTTGACTGTAGGTGAACTATAAATCCCAGCAACTACAACTCCCAAATGACAAAATCAAAACTTTTTGAGTGAAGAACAAACATTGGGTTGTTAGGTATATGCTGTCCAAATTCGGTGTCAATTCGTCCAGTGGTTTTTGAGTTCTGTTAATCCCACAAACGAACATTACACTTTTATTTATATAGATAGATAGAAGATGGCAACAAAAACAGTTTTATGGTTGGGGGTCACCACAACATGAGGAACTGCATGAAGGGGTGGCGGCATTAGGGAGGTTGAGAATCACTGGTGTAGATGCACCCTCTGAGAATTGAACCGGGCAAGTGGGACGGGCTCCCTTTCCTCTCCAGCCTCTTTCCAGCTTCCTTCCCTCCAAACCCATCAAGCTGGGAGATAGTTTCCAAGATGACTCACAGGGCGAATGGCAGCGCGTCCAGGCTGTCACCCATCCCCAGCCAGGCGGCAAGCTCTTGCTTGCGCCGCTTCCCCTTTCCGACTCAGCCCTCCTCCTCCTCCTCCTCCTCCCTTTGCCTTGTTATGGAAAGCCGGTGGGCGTGGCCGATCCTCCCCGAAGCCCCGCCCACAGCCCCGCCCCCGCCCCGCCCCCTTCCCTCCAAACCGGGACCGCAATGATTTAGAAGTTCAGGAATCCCACGTGACGTCACGGAGGGGTGATGTAATGCTTCTCTAAATAGATCGTATTGTAACCTTCGCGCAGTCCAACGTGGTTCCTCCGCTCGGGCTGTTGGTCCCTTCGCCTTGCACTTGTTGGGTAAGTCCCGAAAAAGACCCAAAGCGCTCCCGGCTGGGTGGTTTCTTGCCTTTCCTCCTTTTTCTCCCCGAACCCTGGAATGTTTTGAAAACTCCTGAAGTTGTGGCTTTTGCAGAAAGACTGGAAGAGTTGGACTTTTTTGTTTTTTTACTTTATTCAGCGACAGGGAAGGAAGGGAGAAGGACAAACGCTGAGCGGAGAAAGAGGCAAAAGTAGAGTAAAGGGAGCTTTTATTTCCTTTCGTGTTGTTTCTCGCGCGTGTTTCAAGGCGATGGGTTGGAGGGTTTGCCGCTTTGGGAAGATCTGGGAAAGGGGAAAGATGCGGCCAAAGCTCCCCCCCCCCCCAAGTGTCATTCCATGGGAATCAAACCGTTTGGAGTCCCATCAACCTGGCCTGAAAGTTTGGAGGCGCCAAAAAAAGCACCAGGAAGACCCCACGCGTGGGCTGAGCCCCTTCCCCTTCTAAAGGCTGCTTTAGTTGGAGAAGGCGCTCTGTATACGCTCAGAAACAGTTTACTCGTCTTGGCGTCTCTTGCCGCCTTGTTTCGGGAGACCTAACCTAAGTTGTTGTAGGTTTTTCTGATCATATGGCCGTGTTCTAGAAGCATTCTCTCCTGACGTTTGGCCTGCATCGAAGGCAGGCATCCTCAAACACCTCGCAGTGACCTGAGCCCCTTCCCCTTCAAAAGGCTGCTTTAGTTGGCGAGGGCACTCTATACGCTCAGGAACAGCCTTCTCGCCTTGCCCTCTTGTTTCGGGAGACCTAATCTAGCTTGCTGTAGGTTTTTCGGGCTATATGGCCATGTTCTTGAAGCATTCTCTCCTGACGTTTCGCCTGCATCGATTGCAGGCACCCTCAAAGACCTCGCAATGGCCTGAGCCTCTTCCCCTTCTAGTTGGCGAAGGCGCTCTGTATACGCTCAGATACAGCCTTCTCTCCTTGCATCGCTTGTCGCCTTCTTTCGGGAGACCTAACCTAGGTTGTTGTAGCTTTTTCGGGCTATGTGGTTGTGTTCTAGAAGCATTCTCTCCTGACGTTTCTCCTGCATCGATGGCAGGCATCCTCAAAGACCTCACAACCTCTGAGAATGCCTAACACAGATGCAGGCGAAACCTCAGAAGAGAATGCTTCTACAACATCGCCATATAGCCCGAAAAACCTACAACAACCCAGTGATTCCGGCTACCAAAGCCTTCGACAATACATTAGCCGTAACCTGGGCTTGTCCCCCCCCCCCCTTTTAAGGCAAAGAGAGCTGTCAATATTTGGGGTGCATGACTTATTGTGAGTTTCCCGGGCTGTATGGTTGTGTTCCGGAAGCATTCTCTCCTGACGTTTCGCCTGCATCGATGGCAGACTTCACAACCTCTGAGGATGCCTGCCACAGATGCAGGCGAAACGTCAGGAGAGAATGCTCCTAGAACATGGCCATACTGCCCGAAAAACTTACAATAACTTAGTGATCCCGGCCATGAAAGCCTTCGACAATACATTAGGCCTAACCTTGACTCCCCCCCCCCCCTTTAAGGCAAAGAGAGTGGTCAACATTTGGGGTGCATGATGGGAGTTGAAGTCCAAAACACCTGAAAGGCCCAAGCTTGCCCATGCCTGGCCTAGATGCATCCAAATGTATTGTCGAAGCTTTCGTGGCCGGAATCACTGTTTTGTTGTGAGTTTCCAGGGCTGTATGGCTATGTTTCATAAGCACTCTCTCCTGACGTTTCGCCTGCATCTGTGGCAGGCATCCTCAGGGGTTGTGAGGTCTTTGAGGATGTACTGTCGAAGGCTTCCATGGCTGGAATCACTGGGTTATTGTAGGTTTTTTGAGCTATATGGCCATGCTCCAGAAGCATTATTTCCTGGCGTTTCGCCTACATTTATGGCAGGCATCCACAGAGGTTGCGAGTTCCGAAAAATCTACAACTCTTTGAGGATGCCTGCCATTGATGCAGACGAAAGGTCAGGAGAGAATGCTTCTTGGACGTGGCCATACAGCCGGAAAAGTCACAACAACTAGTGATTCCGGCCACGAAAGCCTTCGACAATACATTTTGGGTGCATCTAGCCTAGGCATGGGCAATATATGTGTATGGCACAGACTCTATTGCACATCACTTTAAGTTTAACAAAGTTCTTGCTAAAAGTCATCTTAAGTGGCTGAGGGGGAAAAGGAAGGGGCCTGAGGCTGTTAGGAATGATGGGAGTTGAAGTCCAAAACACCTAGAGGGCCCAAATTTGCCTATGCTTGATCTACACTGTAGAAGCAACGCAGTTTGAACTGATGGCTCAATGCTATGGAATCATGAGTTATAGTTTGACCCCATCTTCAGCCTTCTTTGGGACTCAAACTTTTCGATTGCGGTCCACCCCCTTGGGCTGTCAAACCCTGGCGCTGTTGTCGATCTATCTATTTGGTTGCTAGGCGGTTGCCTGGCTCTGCTCCTCCTGCCCCCCTCCCCTCCCCTCCCCTCCCCCCGGACCGGGTCGCCCCCGCCCGGTCTGACATTATCTTTGGGAGCCTGGGCCATGACGTCATGCTGCAGGCGAGCGGGAGAGTCCGGGGCTGATTCAGAGGCGCCGAAGACCGGGGCTCGCGGGGAACGAGGCCGCCGGGGAGGCTGAGCCCAAGCAGGGCTTACCTGGGCCGAGACCAAGGCCAACCCCGGCTGGGTCCTTGGCTGGGAAGGAGGGAGGGAGGGAGATCTCCCCGCGCCACGCCGCTTTCTCCCGCGGGAGAGCCTGGGCGCGTGGGCGGGGGAATACCTGCTGGGTCCTGCGTCCCGATCGCCTCTCGACAACTTCCCGGCAGCAAAGGCAGGCGTTTCTTCCCTTCCTCCCAATCCGGCACTGTTGCACCAAGGGAGCAGGTAAGCGACGCTGGAAGTTTCTCCGGTGCGCCAGCGACGGGATGAGGAAAAGTTTCTGAAGTCGCTACAGTCAAGTTGCAGTGCTCGTGAAACGGAGTTTCCTTGGACTGCCTTCCTTCCTTCTCTACTTTTTCCCTCTTCCCTTCCTTCCTTCCTTCCTTCCTTCCTTCCTTCCTTCCTTCCTTCCTTCCTCCTTCCTTCCTTCCTCCTTCCTTCCTTCCTTCCTTCCTTCCTTCCTTCCTTCCTTCCTCACTCTTTCATTCCTTCCTTCCTTCCTTACTTTTCTGGTTAGTTAAAACTGTTGGAAGACATTGTACCATGCCGGTGATAGCTTTCTTTCCTAGCTCTCTCTTCTTTCCCTTCCTCCCTCCCTTCCTTCTTTCTTTCTTCACTCTTTCCTTCCTTCCTTCCTTCCTTCCTTCCTTCCTTCGTTTCCTGGTTAGTCAAAACTGTTCGAAGACAAACCAGCTAAGGCATTGTGCCATGCCAGTGATAGCTTTCTTTCCTAGCTCTCTCTTCCTTCCTTCCTTCCTTCCTTCCTTCCTTCCTTCCTTCCTTCCTTCCTTCCTTCCTTCATTTTCCTGGTTAGTCAAAACTGAAGACAAACAAGTAAATACGTTGTGTTGTTCCATGCCGGTGATATCTTTCTTTTCCTTCCTTCCTTCCTTCCTTCCTTCCTTCCTTCCTTCCTTCCTTCCCCCCTTCCTTCCCCTCCCTCCCTCCCTCCCTCCCTCCCTCCCTCCCTCCTTCCTTCCTTCCTTCCTTCCTTCCTTCCTTCCTTCCTTCCTTCCTTCCTTCGTTTCCTGGCTAGTCAAAACTGTTCCAACACAAGCCTGTAAATACATTGTGCCATGCTGGTGATAGCTTTCTTTCCTAGCCCTTTCTTCCTTACTCTTCCCTTCCTTCCTTACTTACTTACTTACTCTTTCATTCTTTCCTTCCTTCCTTTCTTCATTTCCTGGTTAGTCAAAGCTGTTTGAAAACAAACCAGTAAATACATTGTGTTGAACCATGCCGGTGATATCTTTCTTTCTTTTTCTACAGTGTGCCATGCTGGTGATATATTTCTTTCCTAGCCCTTCCTTCCTTCCTCACTCTTTCCTTCCTTCCTTCCTTCCTTCCTTCCTTCCTTCCTTCTTTCTTTTTTCACTCTTTCATTCTTTCCTTCCTTCATTTCTTCATTTCCTGGTTAGGCAAAACTGTTTGAAGTCAAACCAGTAAATACATTGTGTTGTTCCATGCCACTGATATCTTCCCTTCCCTCCCTCCCTCCCTCCCTCCCTCCCTCCCTTCCTTCCTTCCTTCCTTCCACACTCTTTCCTTTCTTCCCCTTCCTTGCTCCATTTTCTGGTTAGTCAGAACTGTTTGAAGACAAACCAGTAAATACATTGTGTCATACCTGTGATACCTTCCTTCCTTCCTTCCTTCCTTCCTTCCTTCCTTTCCTTCCTTCCTTCCTTCCTTCCTTCCTTCCTTCCTTCCCTCCTCTTTTCTTCCTCCCTCCTTCCCTCACTCTTTCTTTCCTTACCTTTCTTCTTCCTCTCTCCTTCCTCTCTCCCTCCCTCCTTCCTTCCTTCCTTCCTTCCTTCCTTCCTTCCTTCCTTCCTTCCTTCCTTCCTTCCTTCCTTCCTTCCTTCCTTCCTTCCCTCCCTCCCTCCCTCCCTCCCTCCCTCCCTCCCTCCCTCCCTCCCTCCCTCCCTCCCTCCCTCCTGGTTAGTCAAAATTATTTGAAGACAAACCAGCAACCCTAATACATTGTGCCATGCCAGTGATATCTTTCTTTCTTAGCTCTCTCTTCCTTCCTTTCCTTCTTTCTTTCCCCTTTCTTTCTTTCTTTCTTTCTTTCTTTCTTTCTTTCTTTCTTTCTTTCTTTCCTTCCTTCCTTCCTTCCTTCTCTTCTTTCTTTCATTCCTTTCTTTTGTCCTTCCTTCCGTCCTTCCTTCCTTCCTCCCTCCCTCCCTCCCTCCTCCCTTCCTTCCTTCCTTCCTTCCTTCCTTCCTTCCTTCCTTCCTTCCTTCCTTTCCTGGTTACTCAAAACTGTTCTAAGACAAGCCAGCAAATACATTGTGCCATGCCAGTGATAATCTTCCTTTTCTTGCCCTTCCTTCCTTTCTCTATCTTTCCTTTCTTTCTGCCTCTTTCTATCTTTCTTTTGTTTCTTGGTTAGTCAAAACTGTTCCAAGATAAGTTGGCAACAACATTGTGCCATGCCAATTATTCCTTTCCTTCTTTCCTCCCTTTCCTTTCTTTCCTTTTCTTCTTTCCTTCTCCTTCCTTTCCTTTCTTTCCTTTCCTTTCCTTCTTTTCCTTTCCTTTCCTTTCCTTTCCTTTCCTTTCCTTTCCTCTCCTGGTGAATCAGAGCTGTTCCAAGACAGGTTGGCAACAGCCTTGTGACATGCCAGTGGTATATTTCTTCAAAAAGCTCGTCTGAAGGGCCTTCCTTGCCCCCACCCCACAAAATATGGAAAATCAGGGACACTTTGACATGTATTTGTCATTGGATTTTTGACTTGGGAATAAGTAAGACTAGGACAGCAAGTGACAACTGCAACAGAGAGGGAATTGGGGATAAGTCCCTCGAAATTTAAAGTGAGCATTGTTGGAACCTTAGATTACAACTACAGCACCCAGAGTTTGAATCCCCACTTAGCCATGGAAGCACACTGGGAGAGTCACACTCTCTCAGCCTTAGAAAATAGGGTCACCTTAAGCTGGTGACCCTATATTCTTGAAGTGTGGTGTGTCTTAAGAAAGCGAGAAAACTGGTGAAGGAAGTATAGCAACTAAGGTTGACTGGCTATTGCAGTGACGAGTGTGACATGTTTGCGTATGTGTATATTTATTTATCTGTAAATGTGTGTTATTTACATCATTTCAGTATAGATTCTTCTAGCTGGTGCTATAAGTGGTGGAGTGCGTGATGGAGTTTGTCCAAGTTTTCCAAGCTGTTTGCTCTTTGCCACTTTTATGCCTGAGATTAAATTTTCAGCCAGACCTTAGAAGGGGGGCAGCTGAGAGAAAGCGGGGAGGAGAGTGAGAAACCGAACTCCTTTTTAGGGCCTTTTATCCTTGTGCAGGTTGCAAAGCCCCAGAGAAAAGTGTGATTAATGATCAGCAATAAGTGATTAGTGGTTTTATTCAAACTGTTACCTCTGACCAGACGCACACATCACAGGATTAAGAGGCGCTTTTAGATAAATGCTCATTAGTGGAAGGGGGAGAAATCAAAGATAATAGGCAGGCATAGAGGGACAACTTTCCAGGAAAATCATTCCCGTCTTTGGAATAATAAGCTCCATTCACAGAAAGGCACTTTAATTGAAAAGTTGCTTTTATCTTGTAAATCAAAGTTCGAGGTGGAAGTCCATTGGAGCTATTATAACCTAGATTTTCCCATATCCACGACATAGATTATCTTAGCTGTGATATTTCTTTTTCACATCAAGAAACAATTGGGATCTTGAAAGAAATCCAACATTTCCAACTCCACATTTCATAAAGTACCTACTTTGAACGTAGCAGGAGAAACCTGTTGTCAACAAAGTATATAGTACAACATATTTCTGGAGAAGTACGGCTCTGAATTATGAATGAACTCAGCAAGTAACAGCTTGCGTCGTGTCCTTCTGTGCTCTCCACAAAGTTGCTTCTGGCCCAGGTTTTGAGGGTAACCCTTCTACACATTATTTTGTTCCTATTTTCCGTGTCACTTCAAAAGGCACAGGAAAAAGTTATTGTCACCTCTTACACAAATAGAGGAGAGTAAAAGAACTGTCGTTCTTGCCACCTACTGCCCTTTCTTTTACTCTCCTCTATTTGCACCTTGCACCTTCGGTTAACTCAATGGATTCTAATAGAAGATCTACTTGAAAACTTGAATGGTTTTGCATTCAAAAACATAGGTTCAAACAGATTTTGAAGTTCACTGTTTGGAAAGGGGAAGAAAAATGGTTGACATGAACACTGGATGTAGCCACGAATAATAATAATAATAATAATAATAATAATAACAACTTTATTTTTATATGCTGCCTCCATCTCCCCGAAGGGACTTGGTATTATATTTGATAAATGTAATTTTCTTTCCAACTTTTGATTGTCTACTTCTTATATATATTTTACCCATGTTATTGTATGTCCACGGATTGTAGAGAACTAAGCTATACAACATATGTTATTTTTAAAGATCTAAGTTACATTAAATGCCACTAGTTGCATTTATAGCTCTCATTTGCACTGTGCTTAGATTGCGCTACTTTTTAAAAGAGTGCTGCGTCCAGGTTAGCTTCTCACTTTTGATATGCTAAAAAAAGAGAGAATAATAATTTATTTATTTACTGCATTTATATACCGCTTTTCTCACCCCTGGGGGGACTCAAAGTGGTATACATCAAGTAATGGCAAGGTTCAGTGCCAACATGCATACAAAACCAAAGCAATAATATCTAAAATGATGACATATAACTATAAATTAAAACCTTTAAAATCATATTAAACATAAAGCATAAACAAGCATTTAGACAATTGAAACATAGAATTGAAAACATCTAAATATAAACATTCAAATCACATAATCCAAAGTTGTAATTCAAAGACATTCCAATTTTGAATTGCACATATTTCCTATTCATAATAAGGATAATAATAATAATAACAACAACAACAACAACAACTTTATTTGTATTCCACCCTATCTCCCCGAGGGGACTCAGGGCGGATTCCAACATAACAATGGCAAACATTCAATGCCTACATAAAACACATGATACTGATATAAGATCCCAGAAAAACCCCATATTTAAAAGTAGCATTAAAACCTAACATCAAATTAAAAATCTAGCATCAAGAAATTAAACTTGACACCAATAAATTAAACTACACATAGTCAAACAAAATTCTATAATAACATAGATCTAAATAAAACATCCACACTAGTGTACAACAGCCAGCGAGGGTTCATGCCTACTAGGTCTCCTGAAAGTACCTTTAATATCTATATC